TGGGCAATACTCAGAGACATGTTGGAGTTGTAGGTGCTGACAAAGACATGTGCGTGTGATATCCGCCATGGTGTCACAACTAGTATTCTCAATATGTAAAATGGAATAATATACAATTAATGAAGATCGATATCCATAATGAAACGCCTGTGGCCTTGGGTTCGTGCTTAATCAGATTGGTCAGTAATTTTAGAGGTTCGACGTGTATAATGCCGTATTATCGGTAATGGCGGTCATAAGCTGAAAGCTATACGTTCATCGTAAACGGCCTACGACATTTTCTAATCGGATTGTAATTTGTAATGATAAAAACACTATGCCATTGGGTTAACAAGTGCCTTATAATATCGTCATACGAGCATGTTATTTCGTCGCAAAATATATTTCATAGCCGGAGTCATTATACAGGATCAGACTGTTGTGTGCGACGTTCTGTTTTATGTCACCGAGAACCGCAATGTGATTGGGCCTAAGAATGCAAAATGTTCAACAATCGTTGAAGAGCAAATTAATGGAGATTCCTTGCTTTTGGGTCAGAGGTCAGATACATATAATCAGATGTAGTCTCGACGCTGGGCTCCAGATTTCGAATAAGATTGGGTCCGGGTTTAGAAACTGGAGTCCGGGATGAGATTGGATCCGGGTTCAGGAAGTTAGGTATGGGGATGTGACTTGGTCCAGATTAGACATTGAGGTCCATAATTCAGTTGATACTAGACGCTAGGGCCAGGGATTCAAATAGGTCCTGATCTTGTCTGGCCATCGAAGCCAGCATTCAGCGATGAACTTTCAGGTCAAGGTTCACAAGGACCATCGTGTGTACTAGTTACAAGACAGCCTTCGTGACCATATTTTTGGTTGATACTACGTAAGGGGAGCCGAGGGGAATTAAGAAGCTGGTTATTTTGCTTCTTAATTGTCTGAGAGATTTTTTTTTATTTTTGATCTTGTATTGTGTACCTTAAGTGTTTTGATACCGTTAATTAATCGCTTGCACCTTCTTAATTGTCTGAGAGATTTTTTTTAATTTTTGATCTTGTATTATGTACCTTAAGTGTTATGATACCGTTAACTAATCGCTTGCATGGACAAAATCCACTTCCGTTTCAAAGCCAAACGGAAGCACGATGCAAGTATTGGTCAAAGTGAGGCTTGTGAATATTCGTTCTTGCAGCAAACATTTCACTCAGTCTTCAGAACTAAAAATACGAAATTTCTGTTAAATGAGATTAATAGACGATCTAAAAACAAGATTATTAGACTTATACAAACATGCTGGGGGAAATATTAGCTTTTCAGATAGACTTGCACGTGAATCTTTCGCGATCCAGACTGTCCACGTTGACGTTTATTTGCGAATAGTGCTATATCAAATTCAATTTTACCTACATGTACATTCACAAAATTTAAAACAGATCTTCAAGGAAACATTAACTGCATTGACATTTGTAAATTAGGTTATTTTATGTAACCGGGGTCAGGTAAGGGTTAATCCTTCTGACGTGGCGGCTGGCCAATTCAATGGCTTTCTTTTCAATTATATCTTAACTTTGAAAACCACAAAGCCGTGTGCACTAAGTGACGACAACTACAGTAAATGTTACAAATGTGTGTAAAGCGTGTTTTTATTAACGGCCATTATCTACATGGTCGATTTCATTGTGCTCTAAATGGGTTTGCGAGTTAGCAACGCTAGCCCACGTACATTATTGTCCTGTATTTGACTTCATAATGTAAGCCAAACAATAAAAAATGATGACTAAAATGTTAATATAAAGGATGGCTTTATCGCTTTTGTTGTTGTGTGTTGTTGATGATGATGTTGCTGGGGATTTAACTTTATATTATAGTCAAGTGGTGGGGAAAACACGGGCACACGTGGTCAAACCTAAAGAGAGAACAGTAATACGTTCATTCATAAGTAACCAATGGCAGTGGAAGACAATACTTGGCGTACTTGCCACTGTCCAGATGTGCCTTGGCACGTGAGAAACATGTCCATGCGCTCAGACACCGGATTCAGCACGTAAACAATACACACGCCATGTTACGTCTTTAGCTTTCTCTGACGTAAACCAAACTCGTGTTTATCGCTCCTCATTCCTCTGAGAGACATTTATACCTCGTCTACCGACGGCTTTTATATGCAGTTACAAGATATGTTTGGTTCATTCTAATCAATGAGTATAAATCGTAACTTCCACATACCTGTACGGAGCCGAGACGCACTTCGACATTCACTAGTTTTTGTGACATCCTTTCAAATAAACAAACAACTGAACATCTCATATTCTCAACGAGAAACTGTAACTATTCCGATGTACCACGGTGTGCTATCCAGTAGCTGCAGCAGTTCTTGTTATTACCCCCTCCCTCGCCACCTCCTCCGCCAATTTATCAATCTTTCTCCATTGACGGGAAGCAAGATTTGAAATTGTAGGAATTATTGAAATTTCTCGCTATATGTAACCTTACGTGCATTCAAATTATTGCGTTTTTCTGTTTTTGTTGAATGTGCATGGTTATTTTTTTAAAGCTTCGGGTATTGAATTTGACACGTATGCAAGGGCATTAATGCCTATAAGGATTACCATTTATATGTTACTCAACGTAACATCCATAAACTGTGCTAGGTGACTTCGGAAGCATTAGTGGTATTTGTGGCACTCGGGTCTCACTATTATTATGTGTCACAAACAAGACATTTCGTAATATATCGTGTTCATCCATACGAGGGATGAAAATATCTCGGGTGGAATTAGGGAAATCTCTGATGATTATGAGTGTTATATACTAGCGTGAAATTTTAGTCACACACCCTTTCATTGATGTGTTTAAATAGTGGTCATATGTTAAGCTTTGGGTGTGACGTTAGTTCTATACGCTAGCGGTGACTGTCGGTCGGGGATCATTAATCTCTAGGTATTTATGATACTGGCTATGTACATGTACATCACACGGGTTTCGTTTATAAATCAACTTCGAAATGCGTACGTTGAATAAAACCCCCCATCAAAGTTGAGAATTACAGTGCGTGCTATAAATTGATCAATGGGTGACGCGTTACGGGGAACTAAACAAATACCCAGCATCCGGTGCTAGGGGAGATCCGTCGAAGGCACGTGGCGTCAGAAACGATATTGTATTGGTTAACAACTGTATTGAAATTCGCTGTACATGGTATGTAAATCTATACTGCATATTGTAGTCACCATTTTCACTATGAAAACGATCGTGATAAAGTTGTTGGATACACATTGTTCCCGGATGGGTCGATCGTCGGCCACAGGGTAGCTTAATTGGTAGAGCGTGGCCGCCGTCTAGGATTCTAAGGGTCCCGGGTTCGAATCCCGGTCTGGCCATGTATTTCTCTTTCTCTTATTACACAACTGTATATTGGCGTATCCCGAGAAGTCTGTGTATGTATCATTGTCTTAGTATGTCTGCCGTTCTTATATACAGAACTTGACCCTCGATGTAGTACATCGTCGTTCTCTGAGAAGATTTACTTGACATCTTATGCATCTTATTATTTGAATGTTTTCATGAAGGTTATAAGTAATGAGACTGAAAGTTATTAATAATGGTACAAAGGAGGTGATTAGTCACGAGACTGTGAAGGTCGTTATTTAGGTCACCTGGCCCGATGAAACGGCGTCCGTTGTCCGTTCACCATCAACCTTTTTTCTTTAAACGACTTCTTCTAAATAACCAATAAGCCTAGAGTGATGGTATTTGGCCAGTAGCAAACGCGGATGAAAAACTACTAAGTTTATCCAAATGAATGACCTTGACCCACTTTCAAGGTCACTGGGATAAAATGTTTAAAACATTCTTCAAAAAACTTCTTCTTTTACTGAATAACCCAAAAGGCACAGGGTGATGATATCTGGCCAGTAACATGCCGGAATGAAGGGCTACAAACTGTATTCATGTGAATGACATTTGCCGACTTTCAAGGTCAAGTGTTTAAATAAAACTTCAAAACAACTCTTTTGAACAGCTTAAGGCACAGGGTGATCATATCTGGCCAGCAGCATGATGAGATGATGGGCTACAAGTTTGTTCAATTGAATTACCTAGACTAAAATTCCAGGTTAAAAGGTCAAATGTTCACAAAACACTTCAAACAACTTCTGAATAACCCAGAGGCCATGGGTGAAAATACTTGGCAAGTAGCATGCTGGGATGAAAGGCTACAAAGTTTGTTCAAAATGAATGACCTTTGCCGACTTTCAAGGTCAAAGGGGTCACATGTGTTAAAATCTTCTTCTAAATAAGTAAAAGGCCCAATGTTATTTTTGCCAATAGCATGCTAGGATGAAGGTTACGAAGTTTGTTCAAAATGATTGGCATTGACCTCCTTTCATGTTTTTAGGGATCAGATATGTTAAAATCTTTAAACAACTTCTTTTAAGTACCCAAAAGGCCCTGGGTGGTGATATTTGGCCAGTACCCTGCTGGATGAAGGGCATTATTAGTTATGAGATTGTTAAGTTCATTAGGATGAGAGTGTGAAGGTCATATTTATAGGAATATTAAGGTCATCAGTTATTGAATGCTGTCAGTTATGAGACTGAAAGTGGTCAGCTATGATACTGTGAAGGTCATCAGTTATAATACTGTGAAGGTCGTCAGTTATAATTCTGTGAAGGTCGTCAGTTATGACACTGTGAAGATCATTAGTCATGGAACTGTGAAGATTGTAATTGTGAAGGTCGTTCAGCTATGAGAATGTAGGTCATTAGTTATGGGACTGTGAAGGTTGTATGATATGAAACTGAATCTCATTTATCAGGTCATTTTTTATGAGACTGAAGGATATTGGTTATAAGGTTGAAAGTCATTAGTTAAGAGACCGTTTTATATATTATAGACTTTATTCCGATTGCTGTGTTTCTTATTGATATTTATATATTATAGACTTTATTCCGATTGCTCTGTTTCTTATTGATATTTATATATTCTGTTAACCTTACCTTGACATTTTTTATTTCCAGGAGCGTTCCTCATCCCATACCTTATCATGCTGTTCGTTGAGGGCATGCCACTGCTGTACCTTGAGTTTGCTGCAGGACAACACTTTCGTATGGGCAGCATGGGTACCTGGAACAAGGTGCACCCTTTCCTCGGCGGTGTGGGTATTGCCAGCGCGGTGACCTCCTTCATGGTGGGCGTGTACTACAACGCCATTATCATGTGGTGCTTCTATTATATATTCCACTCCTTCCAGAGTCCGTTGCCGTGGGCGACCTGCCCCACGGTGCTTAAAGAGGGCACCAATATATCCATCCCTGTTGAAGAGTGTGACATCTCAGGACCTACCTCATATTTCTGGTACAGAAATGCTCTTGATATTTCTGATAGTATTGAGGAGTCTGATGGAATTAAATGGAAAATGATGCTCTGCCTGATTTTTGCCTGGCTTATCATTTATGCCTGTATATGGAAAGGCATCAAGTCTTCTGGCAAGGTAGGATGGGGGCTAATTGGGGATATTTGGCCCCAACATCACAAACACTGTGTCTGTTTTTAAAAGCAAAAACAAGTACTCAAACTGGAGTTTAAATTGTCTCAGAATGTTTGTGATTTTGGGGTCAGATAATTTTCATTTTTAAATTACCAAAAATTGAAAAGTATTAAAGATGGATTGCCTCTGATATATTGTAATGTAATCAAGTATTTAACCTTGGTCTATTACCCATGTAATTAAGTTATTCAATTAATTCATCTTTATCAATTAACAAAGTACAGAGTGGTTAGAACTAAAGTATGTCCTGTAACGAGAAAAAATCAATGTTTGTCTTTTATGTGACTTGCTGAAATTGAAATGTTCTCTTTAATGTTTGTGAATGCATTGAGCTAAGATATAGCAATAACACTGTACCTTGGATATCTCTCAATCTGTCCATCTGTTTGTCAGCCTACATTGCCTGTGTATTTATTTGGGGCCTGATTTGTCAAATGTCAAGGTCAATGTTACTAAAAATAGAGTTTTCTTTTTCTTATGTTCAGAACAAAATGTCATGATCACTGGAAGCTCAGACTTGGTGTGAAAGTTTTGCAAGAAAAGTAGGAATAACCCTATTGATGTTTTATACATGATTACCAAAGGTCAAGGTAACTTACAGTTACTAAAAATAGAATATCACATAATGTCCAGATAATAAATTAAGAACAAGCCATTTCACAAAGATCCAATTTAGTATGTAGGTTGTCGCAACGAAGGGGAAAAATTGTAATCATTTAGGGTGTGATTTATCAAAGGTTAAGGTCATTGTTACTTAAATAGTATTTAAGGTCACTGTTACTTTAATAGTATTGGCTCAGAGCCTAACTTTGTTGAAATAGTTTCCGACTTAAAATGCAATAGCAAGCATTCAAGTGCAAAGCTCCTTCTTATTGACAATTATTTATGAATCAACAACAGATGTTGTTCTGAGATTCTTTTTGAGGGTCTATGATACCCTGATATCAAATCATGATATGATGTGAAAGAACAGTTTCCTGTTTTGACGTTCAGTCGCCTGGTAATTATTGTTGTAGGTTGTATATGTGACAGCCACATTTCCGTACGTTGTCCTTCTCATCTTCTTTGGGCGTGGAATCACATTGAGGGGTGCTACAGATGGACTTATACACATGCTCAGTCCCAAGGTAAGACCTTGTTACCATGATAACATGTAAGCTATTTTAGGATTGGTGGATACAATAACAGGAAACAATCTTAGAGGCTGTCTCCTGCGACAAAAGGCAGCTAAAATGGAGACATTGCTCATGGAACTGTCAGAAAGTAAAGACAGAATATCACATGTAACAGAACTGAACATAAAATGTCCAGTAGACAGTTAGGATAAAATGAAATGTAGCAGAAACTGTCAATGTCAAATACTGTAAAATAGGTTGTTTCAGTTTTATTAGTTAAGTATGACAGATTCCAGGTTAACCATATGTAATAACTGTGACGTTGGGCTGATGAAGCTGGGTATTAGTAGATGCCAGTGTTTGTATCACCCGAGTCTGTACCACTCAATACAAGGACACAACTACGTACTAGTAGAGGGAGGGCTCACAGTAGTGTGTTGTGGGCAGTGAACCACACGTTATGAATTGTCCGTCCAGAAAAATGACATGATACATATTTCATGGGTTATTAAATTTGTCCTTAGAAGTAAACAGTCTACACTTGTAACGTGGCTACCAGGCTGGTGGTGTTACAATCTGTCTAAAACTTGTAAACAATGACAATTTTTTTCCAACTGGTGGTGTTAATATATCTTATACCCTTAATTGGAAATATTTTAAATAACTATCATCACTTCATCTGATGTAACATGTTGAAACCTATTAAGTTGAGTTGTCTAAGTCTTCCCCAAAATACCTAATGTGTTTGAGATTAGGTCTGTATGAATATCATATCAGACTGTTTATGCAAGATGTTAACGTAAATAAATATTCTGGTATCGTATTGATCTTGTACTCCAGGTTTGCTGTGATATTTGGTCTTAAAATAGACACAAAATGCATCAGATAATTTATACATAATGGTATAAATTGTTTTATCTTGTCCTACACTTCTTGTTGATTACTCCCAATTTTTAATTTAGTTGCTGCTGGCAAAAATTAAATCACTTGTGAATCTCAATTTGGTATTGCCATTAAATATTACATCACCCTTTTCATTCTATTTTAAATATAAATTATATCAATTCAATTTCCATTCAACTTTTTATTCCATTCATAAACAAAATCAGGTTGTCACATTTTTTATGGTATGTTACATACATACCTGGGTTTTGTGAGCTTCCATAGACTTGAAGCATTATAAAATGTGAGATTGGGATGTAACAGACGTTTCTCTATACTAGTCTACCAGCCTCTGCATCTCTCGGGGATTAGTCTCCTGTCAATCCCTGTAGGTAAATAAAGCAAGCTGTTTATACCTCTGTATTGATCACATCACAGAGGGAAAAGATTGAGCAACAGCTGTTAAACAAAACAATAATAAATATATATTTCTCCCTAAAAAGTGTGCAAGAAATTGACAGATGTGAAATATGCATATTTATATATGTATGTTTCAGTTGAAAATGTTCACAATGAGAGAATTTTAACCATTAATGTTATAACCGTAATGCTAGAGATTAGTTGTATTTTCTTTTTTATGTTTGTTTATATATTACTACATAAACAAGAATGAAGATGATCATCGTTGTTGAAATATCTCAGCTGTCCTGCTGATGTCATATTGAGGTAGACCTGTTTCTGTATATAATAATGCTAATAACCCTATCTATTGTATTGATACAGCAGGGCTGTACTGGTCCATTACCCGCATACTCGAGGCTAGTACATGTTATAACACGACTAGTGATCATTTTTGTTATTAATTACGGATTTACCCTGAGAATTTTCAAAATCAGCCTGTTGGCTAGTATTCATATGAAACTGTGCACCTCTCCGTAGTCTTTTTTATGTAAAAATAAACTATATCCTATTGATGCAGTCTTGTTTATAGAAAATCTGGCTCTATTTTGGTTAAATTTGGCATTTTTAAAACGGGGATTTAAAACCACTATTCAATTTTTTGGGATTAAATCATTTCATATTGTTCAAAGTCAAATATATTTTGTGTTGTCAAATGTATCAGTTTTCAGTCTTTGACCAATTTTTTTTTATTCAAGATGACAAATATAATCTCCTAATCATATTGACAACTTCAATCTTTCGATTTAAAAAAAAAAAAATGGCATTAAATCAATTTAAAAGCCACAAATCCTTGATAATATGTTAACTACCAATAAGTTTAGCCGATTAAATCTATCATTATAATTTATTAAACATATCAGTATAATTAAAACTACCATTAAATTTAGCCCATTAAATCTATCATTATAATTTATTAAACCTATCAATATAATTAAAACCAATAAAGGTCTTTCTTTGTGTGATTTCATTGATACACATTTAAAGGAAACTATGCCCTTGGAATATGTAAACATTACAAGTATGACCTAGCTAGCTGACCAGGCTGCTACTGATGCTGGGAGCAATGTTTTGGTTACTTGGTAGTCTCCTTTCCCTCCTCTACACATGTGAGCATGCCTTGGCATCGTGTAAAAAATGGCTCTTACCCAAAACCTTAGTGTAAGACTTCAACTGTCATATCTGTACTTCAGGATAATGGCGCTAACCACAACACTAAGATAAGTCCTACCATTGACTGCTTTGAACACACCGAGTCTTAGTTTAATGATTGAATTGTTTACCAAAATTTCTAAATCTAATTCTTGGCTCATACCCAATATACCCAATAACCATGTTTAGTTCTCAGCGTTTACCTGACAACTTAGTCTTAACGTTCAGTTCTCCCCCTATAACCATGTTTAGTTCTCAGCGTTTACCTGATAGCTTGGTCTTAACGTTCAGTTCTCCCCCTATAACCATGTTTAGTGCTCAGCTTTTACCTGATAACTTGGTCTTAACGTCCAGTTCTCCCCCTATAACCATGTTTAGTCCTCAGCTTTTACCTGATAAATTGGTCTTAACGTTCAGTTCTCCCCCTATACCCATGTTAGGCCTCAGCGTTTACCTGATAACTTGGTCTTAACGTTCAGTTCCCCCCCTATAACCATGTGTAATTCTCAGCGTTTCCCTGATAACTTGGTCTTAACGTTCAGTTCTCCCTCTATAACCATGTTTAGTTCTCAGCGTTTACCTGATAACTTGGTCTTAACGTTCAGTTCCCCCCCTATAACCATGTGTAATTCTCAGCGTTTCCCTGATACCTTGGTCTTAACGTTCAGTTCTCCCCTATAACCATGTTTAGTCCTCAGCTTTTACCTGATAACTTGGTCTTAACGTTTAGTTCTCCCCCTATAACCATGTGTAATTCTCAGCGTTTCCCTGATACCTTGGTCTTAACGTTCAGTTCTCCCCCTATAACCATGTGTAATTCTCAGCGTTTCCCTGATACCTTGGTCTTAACGTTCAGTTCTCCCCCTATAACCATGTTTAGTTCTCAGCATTTACCTGATAACTTAGTCTTAACATTCAGTTCTCCCCCTATAACCATGTTTAGTCCTCAGCTTTTACCTGATAAATTGGTCTTAACGTTCAGTTCTCCCCCTATACCCATGTTAGGCCTCAGCGTTTACCTGATAACTTGGTCTTAACGTTCAGTTCTCCCCCTATAACCATGTTTAGTTCTCAGCGTTTACCTGATAACTTAGTCTTAACGTTAAGTTCTCCCCCTATAACCATGTTTAGTTCTCAGCATTTACCTGATAACTTAGACTTAACATTCAGTTCTCCCCCTATAACCATGTTTAGTCCTCAGCTTTTACCTGATAACTTGGTCTTAACATTCAGTTCTCTCCTATAACCATGTTAAGTCCTTAGCTTTTACCTGATAACTTGGTCTTAACGTTCAGTTCTCCCCCTATAACCATGTTTAGTCCTCAGCTTTTACCTGATAACTTAGTTTTAACATTCAGTTCTTACCCACTTCATCACGAAGTATTAGGTTTTCATTCAATAGTTAAACAGCTTTCATTAAGAGGAAGATTTATGAAACTTAAATATTTGCTTTTGCACAGAAAGCAGAATGTTTTCTATAAGTGCATTTATACTAGATTTTAGGCCCTACAAAATGACAGGTCATAAACACATCCATAGCAGTAACTTTATCTTCAGTAAGTATTGTCAGTGAGCTTTTCCATGTTGTATTCAATACTGTTAGTGAGCTTATCTGTGATGTCTGCATCAGTCAGTGAGCTTATCTTTTATGTCGTCAGTAAAGTCAGTGAGCTAAACTGTGATGTCTGCATCAGTCAGTGAGCTTGATGGCTTCAGAAATCAGTGAGCTAAACTGTGATGTCTGCATCAGTCAGTGAGCTTATCTATGAGGTCTTCAGCAATCAGTGAGCTTAACTGTCTTCAGTAAAGTCAGTGAGCTTATCTGTGATGTCTTCAGAAAGTAGTGAGCTTATCTGTGATGCCTACATCAGTCAATGAGCTTATCCTTGATGTCTCAAATGCTATTGCTGATCTGGAATATGTTGTCTTCAGTGCTACCCTTGAGCATGTTTTGATGTCTTCAGTGTTGTCAATGATCCTATCTCTGATGTCTACAAAGCATGTCACCAAAGTTGTCATAGAGACCATATAAGAAAAGAGGGTTTCTTAACGTTCTGAGAAGATATGCTCAAATGACAATAAAAGCACTTCTCCAGTTACTAGTATGTTTACAACAATTGAGGCATTAATCATTGGTGATGAAATTGGGGAACGTGAGGAGTGTTTCCATGACAATGTGGGGTGCTGTTGTTTCCATGCACTGTGAAAAAGTGTTGCCATGACAGAGCCAGAGTGTTGTTGTTTCTTCTTTGAAAAACGTGTTGCCATGACAGAGCCAGAGTGCTGTTGTTTCCACTGTGCCCAGCCTAATCTGTAATCCTGGCTGTAGCATGCATGTGTGAGATGTTGACAGGTCTACTGAGAACCAGGGCAGCAGATAAATCTATGTTTTTCTGACGTTTATAGTCACTGTGTGCACACAACATGATACAAGTTGTGTGGAGGCTGCCCTTGTATTCCCCAGAGGTGGTAAGGGCAGACCAGCAGTAGGATGTGTACACCAACTAGGATAAATTTGT